CCCCGCTCTGTCTCTGGTGAATCCTCTCACCCTCCCGCATCTCTGGCCTGTACCCTAGCTCTTGTATAAAAATAAATAAATTTAAAAAAAAAAGAAATATTCAATGACTGTGATAGTGCTGAAAAAATTAGCACTGTTCCATCTGACTGCATGCTGGAGTGGAAAACTCTGACCTCTTCATAGGTTTTGGTAATAACATGTGTGGACACAGATGGACACAGGCCAGGAAGATCCTGTGGCCATTCCACTCATTATGGCAGCTGCATCACCAGGGCACATGTCTGCAGGAGGTTTGGGCAAGAGGTTACTGACAACCAAACTGGCCTGACAGTGGGCTCTTTGTCTTGAATGTCGAGTGCTCATTATCCAACTGCTCCTCTGATTCTGAACTTCTGTGAACACAATCACCATAGACTACTTCAATAAACACTGGCCCACCTGCAACTATTCCCCTTTAGGAGATTACAGTACTTTTAGAGCAACAGAGTCTCAGTGCTGAAAGTTATAGTTGCTATTCTAACTCATTTCACTGAAACCTTCCCAAAAGACAGAAACCATTTCAGTTAATCTTACTTTTTCCCCCCTCAGAGAGAAAAGTACATGAATAAAGATTAAATTGTCTTTTCTGTCAGTTCTCTTAAGAGTTTAGGAAAGCTCAGACTCCAGCCAGCCCAGATAGTTTGCATGAGACACTTTCTCCCTCAGGGAAAGAAAGGTCTGTTTTCCTAGCCATTATCTATAATTAACCAGCACTTGCATAGATTAAACTACTCTTGTGACCCCAGATAGACTGTATGAGTTTTTTCTTTAATTACAATTTTTCCTTAGCAATTATAAATTATTTTCCCTATTTTACAAATGAAGAATTAAAGATACTTGTGGGAAAACAGGAATCCTGTCAAACCCAAAAAGAAACATAAGACATGTTCATATTCTACCGAGGAAGAGGGTTCAAATAGGCATCACTTGCTTGTCAGCTCACAAGGGGGGCTCTTTTGTCTCCAGGATTCACTTATTGAGTAATATAGGAAAGATCAGTGAGAAGCCGTGAGGATTTGAATTGCAGATAATTTTCATCTGGTTTACTTCCATATTTCTAGACTAATAGGTAGACTCAGGTAGATCTGAGTCTGTTTTAATGGTGTAATTCGCACATTCTTGTGTTCATGGGCACATGAAACCTATATCATGATCTCATTTCATTAACATCACCTGGTTTATACTTTATACAAACCTTAATCTCGCTGAATTTTCCTACAATTCCAGTTTAGTGGATCTGAAAATGAAGCTTTGGGATGATTTTCTAATCCATGGACTAACACATTTATCTTAGTCCCAATGATGGGGTAATTATATCCCATTTCTTCAAATCGCTCCAATGTTCTGTTGGGCATACAGACCTCTGGAGAGAACATGAGGGTTGCTCCCAGCTGATCCCTGCAGAGCGTTCCTCAAGAAAAACAAGGAAAGGAAACCTGGAGACCTGTGTTCACTCCTTAAGCTTACTGGGCACCTGGTTGATTCCTCGAGGCAGTACACTGCACCTATTTCCAGGGCAAGTTAGGAATGCAGAGCACAAGTTTGGGACCTACCCTTCTGTTCTGCAGGCTTCATCAACCAGACATGAGCATTCCTCACTGTAGGGTAAGGAAAAATGTCAGGCTTTTCTGCCCTCCCGCCATCAGGATAGATGATGGATCCTTGAGGTCCTGAATGCATGCCTGATGGCAGGCACCTGGAGTAGGGAGTGGGCATAGGTAGATGAGATTCACCTGGGCTAAGACTGCTTTTAAGGGCAGCATCTTGGGGATGCCAGCAGAAGCCAAGAACGAATGGAAGCCGAAAGAGAAGCCGAGAGAGAAGCAGAGAAGGCCAGAGAGCCCAGCTAGAGTGAGGACTCGCTGGGGGTTGGGAGGTCTGCCAGCCTCCCGGCCCCCCAGCACCCTTACCTGTTGTGTACCTGGTAAATCCCAATAAAAAAGACCTGCAAAAGCCACTGAGGGCTCCAGGACTCCTCCTTTACTCGGTCTGCTGGATCAGAAAACCTGTTCCATGTCCTGTCCTGAGCCTACACTTACCTACAGCTGTGACTCAACCAAGTTCCTGAGGAAGCATTTCCCATCTCATCCTTCAGACCTCAGACTACTCCCATTCTTGTTCCTTGTCATAAGTTCTGTACGAATTAAATGCAAATCAAAACAATGAGATGTCACCTCACCCTTTTTAGAATCGCTATTATCCAAAAGACAAGAAACAAGAAATGTTGGCACAGATGCAGAAAAAGGGGAATCAGCATACACTGGAGGGAATGGAAATTGGTCTAACAGATATGGAAATATAGAGCTCCCTCAAAATATAAGAACTAGAAATACCACATGATCCAGAAATCTCATGTTTGGGTATTTAGCTAAAGAGCAACATGTACCCCAAAATGTCATCACATTACTCACAGCTGAAAACAACTTCAGCCTCCATCATGTGAATGAATGGATGGAATATTACTCAACCACAAAAAAGATAAAGCCTACCATTTGCAATAACATGGGTGGACCTAGAGGGGATTATACTAAATGAAATAAATCAGATGGAAAAAGATACATACAGTGTTATTTCACTCAATGTGATAGTCAAACAAGTGAACAATCAAAACAACAGAAATAGACTTTAGACAACAAAAATGAAATAGTGGTTCCTAGAGGGACAGGGAAGGCAAATGTGTAAATTGGGTAAGATGGGTCAATGGTGAGGTGAAGAATGAAAATTAGATCTTGGTGATGAGTGTAACATAACAGATATAGATGCTGATATATATCTATATACCTGACACCTACATAATGCTATAACTCAATGTTATTTCAATTAAAAAAAAAAATACATTCCTTGCATCAGAGTCCTTGAGCTCTGGACTCTCTAAAGCTGATTTCTAAATCATCTTTATGCTTCCCTTTTTTTTTCTCTATTCTTTAGTAATTTGTATTTTTCTTTAATTACAATTTGGTAAAATTGGGGAAAATAATATTTTCTCCAATGCCCAGCAAGACTGTTGCTAGGATTGAATGAGATGATGAAAGTGTGAAGTGGTGCATGTGCACAGGCTTCTCTTACACAGTTCTCACTATGATACTTGGAAAGTCACATTTCCCATCCACTATAGGACAGTGGTATCCTGGGAAAAAAATGTTTTCAGGAAAAAGGTTTTGATGTGCAGCTTTTGCAGATTTCTTGAAATAAGTACTCCAACTTACACAGTCAATTTTATGCTACCAACATGAAGTACACAAGCTGGCAGAATTCCTGGAAATTTTTAACAAACAGAACTCAGCAGTCTGTATAAACCAACTCTATCTCAGACCCAGACTCCAGGGCCATTGGGCATCCAACAGTTTTCCTGCCCAAACCCTGACTCGCCCAACTTCCTCATCCTGAACAAATTCTTCTGCTTCCTCTGATGATTATTGTCATGAGGGAGCACTCCTTTGGACATACCAATCCGACCACTCTCCTCTGTGTCCACTGTTGTCTAAATGGGGGTCAGGAAAAGGTGACCCTGATCAGTTGTGCTGGCTCACAAGGACACTTTGTTAAGTAATGAGGAATTTTTCAAGCCAGATGTAAAACCACTGGAAATAGGTCATAGTGGGAGTCTTCACACCAGAGAAATTGGCAAATGCTACAAATCAGCACCAAGAGAACTGGTTTAATAGCATGCCATAGGACAGCGGTGTTTTCGGTCTTACTGTGGCTGTCAGATATCAGGCCTCAATCTCTAAGAATTGACTGAAAATAAGTGTTAGCAGAAAGAATGAGATCTGTATTTGCAACCCCAACTTGCACACTCTAAGCAGATTCTGCCATCTGCCACATAAAGACCAAGCACATTCTTGTGTATAAGACCTTTCATAGAAAAGAACTTTAATAAAACTAGTGTGCATAGAAAGAGAAGAAAAGAAAGGGCAATAATTTTCAATGAAACACCCACAGTTACCCAACCCCTCATGGGTAAAGGCCCAGCCAAACAGGGTTGATCAAAAGCGGAGCCACTGGGGCCGAAAAGCTTGCCAAAAGTCTAAGGCACCTTCTGGTGGGGACCAGAGGAAAGGGGACCAGTAGAAGGGGCCAGGCAAATCTGAAAGAAAAGAGGCAAAATCAAAGAAGTACAAATCAAGTTAAATGCTGCCATTGTCAGCCTTCCCATGTGTCTCTTACCTGTGTATGTCTTCTATAACCCCCCAGTCCCTAGTGCAAGTCCAGGGCCAAGAAGAAAGTGGGATTTCTTCACATGTCTGTGGGCCACATGCCTCCTTCCAGCTTCTCTTCCAAGTGTCCTCAAGTCTTTTCTAGCTTCTCTCCACCCCACCTTACCTCCGCCCTTTATTAGTTGGTGTAGAGAACCTGGAACCTCCCTTTTTTATGTTACAGATAACTCTCCTTAACAATCCCTCTCTGTAACTGAAGAACAATACAAAGATAAGGCTACCAGAGCTCATCCATTGTTGGAAAATTCCCAGGATCTCCACGCCTTGGATCTCTTGCAAAACTGACTCCAGCTACCATGTAAAAGAGCAATTTCTCCTTCTATGAGTTGTCTCCTGAGTCCTCATTTCTGGCACAATAATAAACTTTTTTCAGAACAATGGATGGTTTAAACCAGTCCCTTCAGGAAAATTGAATCCACACTGAAGGGTTGTGGAATGTTCCTAAAGTTCCAACAAAACAATCATAGAATAACCAAACCTTAACAGATGCTCCCAAGCCAGAAACTGCCAGCCTCGCAGCCCTGCTCAGGAAGAGAATGGGCTACACCCACTGGAGTGCGATTCTTTTTGTCTTCATTAAAAGTTTAAAAGAAAGTCTCAGTCTTATTTGACTTAGGGTCACCAGATTACATAAAGTGATTCAAGTCCTTTTAAGCCCACGGCCAGTGTGATTTTATGATGTCACAGTGGACGACAAGAACTATTATTGACTAGAGTGTGGGGTTCAGTGTCTGATACCACAGATTCTGAGATGCCATGAGCCACACAAACACTTGGCGAGGATGGGCCTAAAACCCCAAGCCAACTTTCACCATTCCTAAAAATAATACACACTTAGAAGACACAGGTGTTGTCCTCCTGTGGATCTCCCAATGCTTCTCCAGGTCATTCAAATGTAGCGCGAATCTCTCTGGCAAACATTTAGCCTTTTGCCTAAAACTGAAGAAAATGTTACAGCTTAACACAAAGGTGATTAAAGAACCTGGAAAAAGGGAGACAAAATGAAAGAGGAAATAAATTAGGGAGTTTTTGCAAAGTAGAAAAGTGAGGGTACCTTTTGATGCTGGATGTGAAAGGGAGACCTAAAAGGAGGAATGAAAAGTTTTGAGAGGTAGTGATCCAGGACTGAGCTGCAGAGAAGTGCGGGTGATTGAAGATGCTGCAGTAGGTGGAACCCCACCTCTGGGAACAGCCACCGCTAATGGTGACCCTAAGGAGAAATGTATAGGCAAGATATGTGGCAGAAGGGACAATAACTCCAAGGGGAACTAGGTAGGTATTTTATTTTGGATTATAATGATTTTGTCTGAGCCCCTCTAAAATTTTATTGGCCCCAGGAATCTGGGTCAGTTTAAATTTGTATAGTTAAAATCAATTGTCCAAAATCCAAAACACTTATGTTGAAATAGCCCCAGAAACATTTTCTTAAAGTGACCCTAATATTTTGCAAGTAGTATTTCTCTACTATTCCTTCAGACACAGAGCAGCGAGCTGGGTAGCTATCACTACCCTCCATTTTTCCTGGTTGAAACTGTCCTGTGAGCCTGAGGTGACATGCAGGAAGAGGGAGTCAGGAATCCTGACCTGCCTTCCATTCATTCTTCAACTCCTTGTGGCATTCCCCCATAGGCACCGTGGGCCTGACCAAACTCTGTCTTGTTGAGACAACAAGCCACCTTGGGAAGGAAGACAATGGGTTTGCTCATCCAGAGGGCGGGGCAGCCTTTGAGGTCAGCCCAGGCAGCAGACAGTCAAGTGAGCGGGTCTTCCCCTGAGAAAAGCCAGTGGGGCTGGTGATGGGGGTCTACAGGGCTATGAGGCAGAGCACAAAGGTCCAGCAGAAATGTCCATCCCTTCTCTGGACTTAGGGCAAGCAGGGCTCTCCTAAGCCACTATTCCTCTCAGTTAGGAGGCCTTGTTTTTTGGTGTCTTAGGTAAGTTTTCTGGCAGGGTCTCAAAAACGGTTTTCATCTCCTGGGCAACCAAACCCTCTCCCATAGCAGGTGGGTGGGTGGCATCGAAGTCCCCCACTGGAGCCCGTGTGTGGCCCCTCTGTAGGACTGTGTCTCCTCCACTGGGAAGGTAAGTCCTACAGCGATCACTGACTCATTCATGGAAGTTGATGGTTTTGCTGGTGTCACCTGATTATGTATATGGAAGAATGGACATATGGACCAGGCTGACTAAACTCAAAGTCCTTTTCCCTCACAAGCTAGCACTGGCCAGGAACTCATCTACTATAGCTCTTCTCTTCATCAGGAATGAAAGGAACCAGCACTGGACATGCTGCTTTCTGTACTGTGCCTGCCGAGTTATACTCACCTGGGAGGTGAGAGCTGTGCATTGAGAGGGGACATCTGAGTCCCCTGGACATGGTGGGCTCGCCAAGCACTTAGCAGTCTGTACCATTCGTTTACAGCTAGCTCTCTCCTAAACAGATGATCCCTGAAAACCACAGTTTTGAACTGTACAAATCTACATTCATTACAGAGTGCATCTCCGCAAAGCAGGAAGAAGCGTGGCAGCAGGGTGAATGGGTGCCGCTTTCCCCACCACTACTCATATGCAGCTGCCTGTGAGCCATGCTCACAGCCTAGCATGCCTAGCATGCCATGCCTGAATGGGGGGCAGCTGGCAAGAAGTGAGATGGGTATAGGGGCGAAATGAAGGCGGCGAAATGAAGGGGGAAAAAGGGGAGATACACAAGTTGGAAAACAGATATGTGGGTGAGAGACATGGGGAGGCCACTCCTGGTCCTGGGCAGAGACAGTGGCAGCTGCTATCTTGACCTTGTGGTGGATTATAGGGTACATTTTGCATTTGGGGTCTCTCCTTCCATCCCAACCCTCTGGAACCTGCCTAACCCCATTCTTGCGGTTCCTTGCCAGAAGGTACCTTAGACTTGTGGCAAACTTTCAGGCCTGGGTCATCCTGCTCTGGATCAAGCCTACTTGACTGGAATTGGCCCATAAAGAGATGAGTAAGTTTTTGAGTTTTATTTGGATCTGTTATTTGCACTCCCTCCTTCTCTCTCTCTCTCTCTCTCTCTCTCTCTCTCTCTTTCTCTGCCCCTTTCACCAATTAAAGATCTTTCATACTGAGACTTATTTTTTGATTTGTGTTTGCATATGACTGTACACTCTTTAGAACATGTACCCCTTAACAGTTTGGGGTCCCCTGAGTACCCCTCAGTCATGCAGTTATGTGTAAAGGTACAGGCAGTTACACTCATACATGCATTTCTTGTGAATGGATGACACAAACTTACTGTATTGACAAATGCATTTCAGCTCACTACATGCATTTTGTCTTCCTTATGATTTTCTTAATAATGTTTGCTATAGCTGTATTCTGTACTATAGTCTTACTTTATTCTATTATGACATGTATATATATAATACAAAGGACTGTCATTGTTATTAGTAAGAGCTTCAGTCAACAGCAGGCTATTAGTAGTTAAATTTTTAGGAAGTCATATGCAGTGCTTGCTTTGGCAACACACATCCAGAAAGGATTAGCATGGCTCCTGCCCAAGGATGACATGCAAATTCATGAAGCATCCCATATTTTTTTTGGATTAAAGAAGGTATATGTTACTTCAAGAGGCTCATTTGGCCATAAAGACAAACACAGACTTAAAGTGAAGAGGTTGTAAATGGTGCTCCATGGTGAATGGAAAATTTAAATGTGCTCAGGACACCCTCATGGAATCAAAGTCAGTGATTTCTGTCCTTTCCTTTGACAATTTCGAGTAAGCTGAGGCTGGTGGTGGGGAGGTTCAGGGCATAGCATATAAATCCAGATACCGATGTTCAAATCCCAAGACCTCTGCCAGTGTGACCTTGAGACAAAACTTCCCATGGTCAAGTTCACTATTATAAAGTGAGTGATGGTAATAGTACCAGTTCACAGGCCTATTGACTAAACCAGTTAGTGTAATTCAAGCTCTGAGAGCAATGTCTGGCAGACAGTAAGTGCTTAGTAAATGCTAAAAACATTATTTCTACCAATGTGGGCTCTTGTTCTAATTAACTCTTTTTTCTCAAGGGATCAGAATACAGGAACACAGATACATCATGTTGGTGAGTCTTAGAGCATAACCAAGCATGTCTAAAACTTTCTCTTTCACAAAATGACAAGAATCTTCTTCAGAAGGCTGAGTCTAAAGTCACTGCTACTTTGTAAAGAAAATCCTTTCAGCAGATGTTATAATAGTCCAATAAACTTAGACACCCTAAACTGTGGCAGGGCTTTCAAAGTCTCTAGTGTCCCCACTAAGTTTGCAGTCTCCATATCACAGTGAGTGTTGGAAGTGGGGTGGGAGACTCGCTGAGAATGATGATGATGATGATGATGATGATGATGGATAATTCGATTAAACAGTGTCTATTGTTTTGACCTCATTTCAGTTCCTATTTCAGAAGGGGACTAGAAGTACGAGGATCATCAGTTGAGGAAATGTACATTGACCTAGCATTTCAGTACTTCCAGAGACAGGGGTCTTTACTCATTTGCCAACGTTCCTCTTTGCAGCTCAGAATTGTCTTTGTCTCCCCAATGCAACTATCTTAGGTTCTATTTCTCAAAACTCCAGTTGCTGTTTTTGTTGGTTTCTATGCTGGATTTTAATGGATGCTTTTAATGGACCAGTTGTGAAGTGGTCATATAACCTAATGCCTTTACCCAATTACATAATTCAGTATCTTAGGATGCACCTTAACGGCTGACCCCAGCATAAGGCGTTTAAGGAAAGAGGCAGAGCATAGGAAAATATGGATATTGTGGAGTGGATCAGTCAGCTTGTCCATATAATAAATTGTGTGAATTTGTTCACACAATTACAGAGGCTGAGAAGTTCCACCATCTGCCATCAGAAAGCTGGAGACTCAGGGAAGCTGAGGTGTAATTCATTCCAAATTAGAATGCCTAAGAACCAAGATCACTGATGTCTGAGGGCAGGAGAAGACAGATGTCTCAGCTCAAGAGGCGAGAGAGAGAATTCACCTTTCTTTTACTACCATGTTTTTTTTGGTCCTCAGTGTCTTGGATAATGCCCACATACCTCCCCACATCAGTGAGGGTGAACTTAATTCATCCTATCTTTTCATATGCTAATTCCTTGTAGAAACACCCTCACACACACACCCAGAAAGCATGTGTTACCACCTATGAGCATCCCATAACCCCATCGAGTTGACATAAATTTGCTCTCACATCGGTGGTGTGAGCATGGCTCAAGATCCAACACCTGGGTCAGCCATCATGTTGAGGCAAATGACTTGAGAAAATTTATTTATGTTCAAACCTCTGCTGAGTAATAAAAGCAGCAAGCAGCGCACAGTAGATGGAGCTGAATAAATCACACTATAGCAAGGAGGCAGAACCCATAAAGTGAGCCACCTTCCAGAGCAAGGAGCCTCTGCTGGTGGATTACTGTCTGTGGCAAGAGGCATCAAGGCCACAGGGCTGGGCTGCCTTTAAGGCAATATAGCTCCTACAGAACATGATGTGTGGAAAGACACAGAACCTGCAGACAGCCACATGCAGAGTTTGAGTGCAGTTCTGACCGAGCATGGATTTCAACTTTTCTACTCACATGTGAGGTGCATGCACTCTGTTTGCCATGAAGAAAATGACGGAGTGAAGCCAGATACAGAGTTACAGCACCCCCTTCTTGTCATACTTCTGTCAAAGTCTGCTATGAGAGCATGTTGCATTCTACTCTATTCTGAATCAAACATAAATTCTGAGAGAAGTGTCTGAATTAGAGATTTTGCATTCCCAATTACGTTGTTTTCAAATTATGACTCATATTTTTAACAAGTGACATCGTTTTTTAAAAAAAGATACGTGAAGGAATGTGACTATTCTTTGATGTTAAACTACAAGGTATCCTTTTCCTACTATTGCCCATAAAATGTGAAATAAGTGACAATTTAAAACATGCTCACCCCAGCTCTTAAGGAAACATGTCAGGCAGGGTTCTAGTTGAACATCTTGCTGTGCTCCTCCATGGCCACTAGAGGGAGCACAAGCTAACCAACAGCCCGTCTCTGTCCCCAGAGTTTTGGCACTTTTGGGAACGCTTGCCATGACCTCTGGAAGGACATAGCATGCTCTCTTTTCTGCAAAAATACTAAGTAAACTTGTCATCAGGGAAATGCAAATCAAAACTACCATGAGATACCATCTCACACCAGTGAGAATGGCACATATTAAAAAAACTAGCAACAACAAATGTTGGCGAGGATGTGGAGAAAAAGGAACTCTTGTGCACTGTTGGTGGGAGTGCAAACTGGTCCAACCACTATGGAGAGCTGTGTGGAGATTTCTGGACCTACTAAACATAGAGCTTCCATATGATCCAGCAATTCCACTCCTAGGTATTTACCCAAAGGACACAGAAACATCAATTCCAAGGAGCACCTGCACTCCTATGTTTATAGCAGCACTGTTTACAATAGCTAAGCTTTGGAAACAACCCAAATGCCCAAAAATAGATGACTGGATCAAGAAGATGTGGTACATATATACCATGGAATATTACTCAGCATTCAAAAAAGATAAACACATGCAATTTGCAGCAACATGGATGGCACTGGAAGGGATCATGCTCAGTGAAATAAGCCAAAAAGAAAAAGAAAAATACCGTATGGTCTCACTCATAGCAGGAATCTAGAAAACTTAAATAAGGGACCAGGAAAATGAATATAAGAAAGTGAAAATCAAAATCAACAAAAAACTATGAACCAGAGACACTTTTTGGGGGGCGGGGGGGAAAGGATTGGGGTCAGAATTGGGCGTTTGCAATTGTATGGGGGAATATAAAAATAAAATTTAATATTTAAAAAAAAAAAAAAAATACTAAGTAAACTGAAAACTCAATGATCAAACTGGGAGGGTGACACCATCAGAGTGTCCTTTACTCTTGGAAACGCCAGACATAACCAAAGCAGACATGAGGATCCGGACACTTGATTCCGGTTAAGAAGCGTCAGGACAAGAACATCCAGAAATGCACAAACCTCAAGAAAAATGACCTATTTCCAATTATCAACTCTCTTTCCCTTCTGGGAGGAGGGAGTATGGGTTCTCTGATGTGGATACAGGCAACGCCCTTAGAAAGAGTGGTCATGTATAAAGGGCGGGGGTAGGGGCTGTGTCTGTGCAGGCACATGCGCATCTCTGTGTGTTTGTGTTTGTATGTGTGGATGTGATATGTGTGTGCCTAGGTCAGGAGACAGACTCTGGTTGGTCAGGTTCTTTCCCATGCCTCCCCCTAGATAGGAGCTGCAAAACACTTTGAATCTTAAGATTTTTCCAATCAGGCCATCAGCGGGAAAACCTTTTTATCTTTAGCTAGGCTCATTAAAAAAAAAAAACTGTCCATGCTCATTGGCAAATTGATAATTAATCTTTCCCAGGGGAAAAAAACCCAGAATGTCCAAGTTTCATTATCACTTTTTAATTTGTTTTCTAGTAAAGAGGATCCTTCCATCTTTAGTTTCAAATTACATGACAGAGTATTTAATTCCCTAAAAGGATTTTGATAGGTTTTTAAAAAGCCCAGCATAAAAATTAAGGGTGGCTTAAATACTGAAAGACATTTTTTCCTGTAGTGATCATTGTGTTCTCACTGGATGCCAGTCAAATAACATGCCTTGAAGGAGCAGGTGGACCAGTAACTCAGTGGTATAAGAAGTGTTTGGCACATGGTAGCCACTCGAAGTTTATAAATGAATTAATGAATGAGTGTTAGAGTGAGCAATTATTATAATGAAGAAAGAAAAGTGCTCTGAGAAATGGAGAAAGAGACTTGGATCTAGACTTGGATGAACATTCTGGGCACAGAGATGATGTATGAAAAGATGTCAAGACAGAATAAAAATACTGGAGAAATTGTGGGAGGCTTACTTTGATGGAAAGACAGAATTGAGCAAGAAATTAAGGCTTAGCGAATAAAAATTTATAGGCAATGTTAGAATTTGATAAGCATTAATAATAACAATAACAGCTAACAATGACAACTAAATGCTTTCTGCATTAGTTCTCGTTAAGTGTGGTATTCTTATTTACTATCGTTTTTGTGGGTGGTATGAGATAGTGGTCTAATTGCATTCTTTTGCATGTTGATGTCCAATTTTCCCAGCACCATTTGTTGAATAGACTTTTTTTTCCTCCACTGTAAATTCTTAGCTCATCCTAAATTAACTGTTCATATAAGTTTGGGTTTATTTCTGGACATGTATTATTCTATTGATCTGTGTGTCTATTTTTAATTCCAACAAGATACATTTTGATTATTTTTGCTATGCGGTACACTTTGAAGTCGGAGAGCTTAGTGCCTCTGTTGTTCATTTTTGTCAGAATTGCCTTGGCTATTTGGAGTTTCGTGTTCCAAACAAATGTCAGTGTTTGTTCTATTTCCTTGAAGAATGTCATTGGAGTTTTGATAGGGATTACATGGAATCTGCATATTTCTTTGGGCAAGATGGCCATTTTCACAATATTAAGTCTTCCAATCCATTTATCAGTGTTTTCTATATATTTTTATGTTTAATAGTTTCATTATACAGGTCTTTAACCTCCTTTGTTGGATTAGTTTCTAGGTACTTAATTCTTCCTGATGTAATTGTAAATGGGATTGTTTTCTTGATTTGCTTTATCTTCAAATTCATCGTTTGCATATAGGAACAGACTTTTCTATACTGATTTTGCAGCCTGCCACTTTACTATCCTGCTTATTATTTCTGATGGTTTTAGTCTTTAGGGGATTATATGTATTTTATCTTATCTGCAAATAGTGATAGTTTTACTTCTTCTTTTCCAATTTGGATTCCTTTTATGTCTTTCTCCTGCCTAATTGCTCCTGCTAGGATTTCCAATACTCTGGTGAATAGTAGCAGTGAATGTGGACATCTGTGTCTTGTACTAGATCTCAGAGGCCAATCTTTCAGTTTTTCAACATTGAGAATTATGATAGTTGCGGGTTTATCTTCTACAACCTTTACTATGTTGAAGTATGTTCCATCTATCCTCAGTTTTTAATTTTTTATCATAAATGGATATTGAATCTTATTAA